AATCTAACCTGACCCCCTTTAAATACAGGAAATCTGCTGCTAAAATATCCCTGATAAAGCTTCTGATTCTATTCACAATGTACACAGGTACAAGCTGCCTCTTAACATGTGCAGGTGATTGTGCAAATGTGTGCACACTTACTTGTTTGCATGGCTCAGCTCCTCTGTAAGCATGTACACAGACTGTACACTCCTTGACTTCTACATATGAATAACTGTACGAGTATACAGCTGCTCAAGTATTTGTTTTTGTACACAACCACACAGGTTGTGCACTTGTTGAATGCAACATGTGAGCACCCCTCTTAAAAGCCTCACACTACTTTCTGGGACAGTCTGTCCCCAATAATTGTTCCAGTAGGAAGTTCTAATGTTTGGCTGCTTTATAAGCGGGATTTTTAAAACTTTATTTCAGTGTTTGATTTTTCATTTGTAATGGGGATATATCTATATCTATATCTATCTATATCTATATCTATATCTATATCTATATCACAGACTATGTTGCTTTTCTGTTAATTGCGCTTCTTCACAAGCGAATCTTTACTGTTTTTGATTTTCGTTTGTAATGGGTTTTTTATATTCTGCAAAGTTTGATGTTTTAAGGATAGGGGGTTTACAACTTTCTTTCATTTTAACGTGAAGCAGTGTTAGAAACAATTTAAATCAGGCATGGATTAGCTGGATCTGGCTGGCTGGCTGCCTCCTTCCTTTCCCCACCCTTCAGGGCCAGCTGATAAATTGACAGGTGAGAGTGGTCAGTCAGCTGATAACTTGGAGGGGGCTGGCTTTGAAAGTTGGTTTGCAAGCAGTTTCAAAACAAGCCACTTGCAAACAGGCTTCAAAGCAATGGCAACCTGATGTCAGTGAGGCAGGTGGGAGGGGTTCGGTGAAAGTAGCTGAGAAGGCCAGATTAAGACCCCTGCTGGGCTGAATTACTTTTGTGGGTTTGTGGGGTGGGTGGGTCCTGCTTTCAGTCTTCCTACAAGGCATTGGATTGGCTGCTATGAATCCATCGATTCGGATCCTACCCTCTGAAGCAGTAGAAAACAAGCTTGCTCCATCTTGTGTCTCTAAGAACCTGTCATGGTCCAGTCTATGTGTGATCGAAGTCCCGGCTGAGGACGTCAGGACTGGGGGCAAGATGGCAGGTTGGGAGCAGGAACAAGAGTCCAGAAGCCAGGGGTCCGAGGGTCAGGAAGCAGGGAGTCACAAAGTCAAGGGTCCGAGGGTCAAGAAGCAAGGAGTCAAGAAGCGGAGGTCTGAGGATCAGGAAGCAAGAAGCCAAACGCAGCAAGGTAGGAAACGAGTTGCTCTGGCAAAAAGCCGAAGGGAAATGCTGACCTTATATCCCTTCTCAGCTCTTGCCACCATGTGCAGTGAGTTACCAAGCGGCCTCACCTGTGTGGCAGCACCTTGCCTCTCCAGAACAAACTTAGGAAGCTCAGTCTTGCGAAGCCCTACTGGTCACAGGGGCTGGCTCCTGCACGCACTCCTGACAGAACCCTCATAGTTTAAGGGTGCTGGGAAGAGCGACTGGTTGTTAAATGGAACTGGGAAATGTAGCCATGTCTCCTAACAACTCTCAGCACCCTACATGGGATTGCCTTGATTGTTTAACGCAGTACAACGCTGCTTCATAGTGCAGATGGAGCCTCAGCAGCTGTGGTCTGGTCGACGAAGCATCAAGGCTCAGATTTCAACAGCGTTGCAAGATTCGAACCTCATTCCCCACCTGTTGGCAAACCCATCCCTGTCGCTGCAGCCGGTCTGGCTGAGGGGAGGGCACATTTGGGGAGCCACACGGATCCTGCCCCATCCAGCCCCTCCTGCAAGGACAAAGGAGGCCATTTGTACAGAGAGGGAAATCCAGCGTGGTGATGTGAAGGCCTCAAAGGAAACAGAGCGGAAGGAGTTGGGGCTGACAGCAAGGCATGCTGGGTAGGGATGCCTGGAGCTGAACGCAGGCCAGGCACTCTGCTCTCTGGCTGTCCCCATGGTAACCTCAGCCTAGGGAGAGCAGCCACCCTTTATCCTGCCTTGGCAGCCGTGGCAGATTCTAGGTCACAGATGGCCTCTGCCGGTGCAATGGGCCTCAGAGGCTCCCAGTTGGCGGTCAAAGCTCTGGCCAGTTAGTGATGCAACTGGGCAGCGTCAGGCGGTTTGTGTGTCTGTTGAAGGGCAACCTGATGCTGAAGTTCTCCTGGTGGTCCTTCCCTTGTTTCTCCACAAACAGAGAAGCAAAAGTTCGGTGGCCTGGCAGGGCAGGCCTATCCATGCAAGCGATGGAGTAGTCGTGAAGGATGTCTGACGTTCCTCCCCTCCCCTTCCCCAAATACCCCCACTGGAAGCTGATTTTGGCCAGGACCGGCTTTCCTTTTCGAAGATGTTGCTTTCAATTTGGCAGGATTGACCTCGGGGCAGGAGGTGACAGGCAGCAGCACGTCAGCGGCGGTGGCCGGCGAGGGCTGGCGAACCGCCTCAGGGACAGGACAAATATTTTATGAGTAATTTAATATCTGGAACACACAGGCGTGCTCATTCCCAGAGAGACAACGCTCCTTAAGACCCACAAAGCCTGCTTTTCATAAGGAAGCGGCTTGGCGGGCGAGTGTGTGTGTGTGTGCAAGGGAGTGTGTCGTCCCTGGATTAACCCCTCCACGTCCGTCTTCGCAATCGGCATGCACAGGAAAATGGGAGATGATCATGGCTTTGGCCCCTCTCTCTGCAACCTCCCACCCTGTTGTCTCGTCCTGGAACCAAGGGATGAGACTGGGCCGAAAGACACCCCCCTGAACCCCATTGCAAGAGAGCCCCTTTCATTCAGCCCTTTTGAAAGGAAGGCTCCCCCAGGAACAAACAGCCTTACATCCCAAGAAGTGAAATTCGGAAAGACTCTCCCAGTGAGGGGTTGATAAACCTGTCAATTTCTGTTTCTCTGCTTCTGTTTCCCCCCTCAATCTCAACTTACATTTTCCACATTTCTGCAACACTTTGTATTTTTTTCTTAAAAAATCTTTATGAATCTTAGCGTGTAGTTTCAAGATACATATTTTAGCACAATTTTAGCACTTCCACTAATATATAGTGGTACCTCAGGTTAAGAACTTAATTCATTCTGGAGGTCCGTTCTTAACCTGAAATTGTTCTTAACCTGAAGCACCACTTTAGCTAATGGGGCCTCCCGCTGCCACTGCGCCGCCGCTGCACGATTTCTGTTCTCATCCTGAAGCAAAGTTCTTAACCCGAGGTACTATTTCTGGGTTAGTGGAGTCTGTAACCTGAAGCGTCTGGAACTTGAAGCGTCTGTAACCTGAGGTACCACTGTATGCATTTTTGCATGTTATTCTTATTAATGAATGCCTTCTTACGCACACTTCCACATATGCACACCCCATGCTTTGGTCAATGAACTAAATTACAAAATTTGGAGAGCTTTGGATTTCGAAGGAGAGATGAGTTTCGGTTTGCATGCTGCTTCAGGAAGTGGAAAGCAGGCAGGGCTGCATGGAAATGTGAACCAAACCCAATTCCCCCCCACTCTCTCTCCCCCCCTTCCCTGCTGGTCCAGAGTGGAGCAGCTCTTTAGCCCTGATGACCAGAAGAACAATAATGTGAGAAAAGGGATTCATTGCAGGCAGTAGCGCAGAAAGAGGAAGGGAGATGAAGCGAGACCTAAGCCAGGAAAATGTCATCCCCAGCAACACCCCAAGAGTGACAATGGTCCCATCTGCACCATACATTTAAAGCTGTATCGGATCACTTTAAACAGTCATGCATGCTTACCCCAAAGCATCCTGGGGACTGTAGTTTATTAAGGGTTCTGAGAGTTGTTAGGGCATCTCTGTTCCCCTCCGAGAGCTACCATTCCCAGAGTGGTTTATTGATCCCTCTTCCCAGGGAACTCAGGGAATTGTGACTCTGTGACGGGATTTCTAGGCCGTGTTGAATGAGGATGAAAGCTGATATACCCTGTGCATTTTTACTAGGAAGGAAGTTCTACTGAATTCAATGGGGCTTGCATTTTAAAAACCATGCACACTGCTTTGAGCAACTTGGAGAAAAAAGTTGGCATAGCAATGCAATAAATAAACAAATAAATAGATAATATGACATCAGGTATGGGGTCGGTGGGTGTGGTTTGAGAGAAATGTCCTTGTAAGCCAAATTGTAGAACCTGGGTGTGTGTGTGCAGGTTTGTCCAACAAACCAGACATTTCCCACCCCTGAACTAGAAGGAAAGGGAGAATAGAAAAATGTGAAGCTGCATTATATGGAGTGACACCTTTGATTCATCTAGTTCAGTACTATCTACACTGACCGGCAGCAGTTCTCCGGGATTTTAGGCACAGTTCTCTCTCCACCTGGAGATGCTGGGGATCGAAGTTCAAACCTTCTGCATGCAAAGTAGATGTTCTACCACTGAGGTACAGTTCTACCCTGAAGGGGAGTGTGTTTGGGTCAGGAGCTTTGGAGACAGAGTTTGTGTGCTGGGCCAGCAGTAGTAACTCCTTTGGTGCCAATCATTACCAAAGCCAGAGGTGATCTTAGTTACTTTTTTAAGCTTTCCTTGGTTCTGAGGTCAATTTTAATGAACCTCTGAAAGTTGGTTTCCAAGCCCCTCTTGATTGAACTTTGCAGAAGTCCTTATCCAGAATAACATCACATTCAGACCTTTCAGAGAAAGGAACTGCAAAAATGTGCTTCCCACGAAATTCACTAACTGAAAATGAGGGGGATCAGGGGTTTTTTGGGAGGGGGGAGGAGTCGGTTTTGTGACAGCTCTAAAAGAAATAAAGGCTTCCCCCACCCCAGCCATAGTACTGTTTATGTCAGGATCTAGAGTATATAAATTCCTTTTCTTGGAAACTTTCTTCCTGGCCAAGGCTTGCTAGACAGCAGGTGGGGTCAGCTATCCCTAGGTATCTGCTGCCACCTTGTGGTGACCAACAAAGCAATGCCTCTCATCCTTCCTGATGCAATCGACAATAACTCTCCAAACCAAAGCACAAGTGATTGTTTATTTGTTTACAAAGTTACCGCAGAGACTTCTTGTGATGGAGTTTTTTGGGGGGAGGAGGGGGTTTGAAAAAGGTCGAGCGGTTATTGAAAGAACCTATCAATGATCACCCATTAAGGCTGCACCATTTCAGAGAGGCAAGGGCATTGCAGTTCCCATACCTTGTGCTCCATCCCTGGCTGGCAGTTTCCGAAGACCAGACCTGCAGCAGAGGGTGGAGTCTGGTGGAGAGAGCAAGCAGGAAAGCAGGTCCCCAGGTTCCTCTAGCTAAATGGGGAAGAGTAAGAACCCGGAGAAGATGCTGTCTGCCCCTTCTGTGCCCCCAATGAGCGAGTTCTTCTCTGTAGGCTCTAACCAGACCGACTCGCCCCTTTGCACTTGGAGAACCACACCACCCGTGGTGACCTGGAAGGCATTGTAGACGTAGTCACAGAAGGCTACGACCCTCTCTCCCCGGCTGCCTTGCCCTTTCTTGATCTGGACACACAGGTTGCCCCGGGAGGTTACGTGGTAGGTGAAGTAGTAAATCCCGGTGATGTTGGAGACAAAACGCCCATAGCGGCTCTCGTAGTGGCCATTGACATTGGTGTGGACACGGTCAAAGCGGATGGGCTGTGCACGCCGCGGCAGCATGGAGATTCCCCGGGAGGCCGAGAAGGCGGATTTGAGCGAGGTCTTGTAGTCACCAGATTCTCCTTTGGCTCCTTGCGGGCCAGGAGATCCTGGGGGGCCTTTGAACCCTGCTGGTCCTCTGGGCCCAACTTTGCCAGGGTAACCAGGCTCTCCTGGCTCCCCTGGTTCTCCAGAATCTCTGTTTGCTTCAACACCCCCGGGAGGACCTATGAGAAGTAGGAAAGAGGAAGGCAGAGGTGTTAAGTAGAACTGTTTAATGTATGTTGAATTGGAAGACAAATCTATAATGTGCCTCTATAGCACTGTGAAGCATGGCTAGAAATTTACATTGAAGCTGGAGAAGAGTCCGACAGGTTAATCATTAATGGAGTTGTAACATGGAACTGTATTTTTGTGCTTAAAGTCACAGGAAAGGGAGAGTATTACAGGTCTATGTGTATGCTAATCTGTAGGCATCTGTCTTGGGTGGAGTGCTCTCTTTGTTCCAAGCTAGTGAAGAGAATGGACATGTGAATCTCTGTCTCCCACAAACAGCCTGAGGCTAATGGAGGCTGCAATGGAGAAGAGATGGACCTTTGATTTTAAGCTCAAAATTCAAGATATTTGTAATCTATGGCATTATGCCCTTTGCTGGGATCAGTATAAGAAATTATGAATGTAACTTCTATCATTTTAAATTGTTTGGAAAAGAAAAGTTTTAGAACCATATTTTTGGACTGGATTTTTTTCCCCAACACAAGAGCCAGTTTTCATTCATCCAACGGCTTCCTGGTGCACAATATTCACAATCCCAATAAGAGGTGTGGTGTGTGTTATCAACTTGGTCAGGTCTGGCCCAGCATTTGAATCCTCACTCAGCCATGAAGTTCACTGGGTGACCTTGGGCCTGTCACAGGGCACCCTCAGCCTGACCGGCATTGTGGGTTTTTTGTGAGGATAAGATGGGGAAGGAGAAAATTGTACACACTGCCTTGGCCTCCTTGCAGGAAAGGGGGGGGTATCATAAATAAGGGAACGGTTTGTATGTGGAACTCCCAACCCCACCATTTGATAAATTAGAGCTGAGCTGAGAGCTCTTAAAAAATAATTTTAGCCAATGTTAACCCTACTCAGGGTAAGCCAATTGAAATCAATGTGCATGGCTCACATAGGTTTCTTAATTGCAATGGGGTCTGCTCTGTCTCTGAGTAGGATTTGGTTGGATATAACTCTCTCTTTCTATCTCAAGCTGTTCCTGTGATGTTGAGAGAATGTGGCTCATGTCCTGGGAAATCACCATCAGCATGCCCTTCACAACAGAGGGTTATTAGTAAGGCCTTCTCCTCAAAACTCCCTGCTGTCTCCCCACCACCATACTTGCTGCTTCCCTGCCTCCCCATCATGCAATAGATTGGCTCCCTGATAGGTTGGGACAGATTTCCAGCTCAGATGCTCACGTTGCACTGTGGACAAGAACCATAGTGAGAAAGAAACCATGCCCCCCGCCAAGTGAATGCCCCCTTACCTCGTTCACCCTTACTCCCTGGCACTCCATCGCTGCCATCAGGGCCTGGGGCACCTGGCATGCCTGGAATTCCTGGGATGAGCTGGGGCCCCCGGCAAGTGTCAGCACCAACCAGCCAGGCTGCATTCAGGCACATCAGCATTGCCCATGCCAACCTCTTGGGACTCAGCATCCTGGAAAGGTAAAGGGAGAAAGCAGGAGCACCCAGCTGGGAGACCAGCAAAGCACAAAAGCAAGAAGATGCACAAATACAGGATGGGGGACACCTGCCTTGATGGAGTGAAAAGGAATCTTAGGGGTCTTAGGGTTAGCCTGGAAAAGAGGAGAATGAGAGGAGTTCTAATAGTCACCTTCAAATATCTCTCTGTCACACGGAAGATGGACCAAGCTTGTTTTCTGTGGCTCCAGGGGGTAGGAGCTGAACCAATGGTTTCAAATGACAAGGAAGGAGATTCCAACTTAACCTCAAGAAGAACACCCTCACATACCGTCCAACATTTCTCAGATTAAAACAGGGACATTATAAGAAAAAGTGGGACATTCTGGGATCAAATCAGAAACCGGGACAGCTTCTGTAAATCCAGGGCTGTTCCTGGAAAATAGGGACTCTTGGAGGGTCTGCAGGTGTGCTTCCTCCAACTAGCTCAGTACTCTAACTGGGAAAGGCTGCAGCTTGGTAGCAGAGCATCTGCCTTGCATGCAGAAGGTCCCAGGTTCAATCCTTGGCATTTTCGGGTAGGGCTGGGAATGCCATGTGCCTGAAACCCTAGAGTGCGGCTTCCGGTCAGTGTGAACACTAATGGGCTTGATGGACTAATGCTCTCTGACTCAGTCTAAGGCAGCTTCCTGTGTTCCTATTATTTAGGAGCCGGCATTGTCTGTAGAGGAAATCTCTTCCCAGGCACATCAATTCCCTGGTGTCAACCCAGCTTTGCAAAATAAGCCTCTCCAGAGTCTCATCCCCTTTCCTTGACCACAGCAGTGACATCCCAAGGGTTATTGATGCTGCTGGATGAAATGAAGCATGGATCCTCACACAAGCTATCTGTCTTCTGCTGAACTAGCTTTCTCCTTTCTAAACTGGTGCTACCCTTTTGGACCATATCAGTCCATCACCGAGAGAACCCTTCTGGTTGCCAGTTTCTAAATTCAGAGTGCTGACATTTCCATTTTAGAAAGCCATGCCTTATAGAAACCCTTTTCCTGTATGAACAACAGAGAGAGAGAGATTCTAGCATGGTGCTGCTCTGTGTGCTTTAGTGGTAGAGAACCTGCTTTGCATGCAGAAGGTCCTGGGTTCAATATCCTGCATTGCCAGGCAGCGCTGGGAGAGACTCCTGGTCTGAAATCCTTGAAAGATGCTGCCAATCAGTGTAGGCACTACTGAGCTAGATGGACTAGTGGTCTGACTTGGGGCAAGGCAGCTTCCTATCTACCAGTGCCCTCTTTGGATCTCCCTCTGGAGATGTTCTGGCCAGCAGCCATCAATTCCTCACCCCTCCAAAGGCTGGTCTTGAATGCAAGGGGAAATAATTCAATGAGTGCCTTTCTCTTACCTTGCAGCGTCTCAAAGAATCTCTGGACAGCAAGACTCGCCACGCTCCAGGCCCACACTGAGGACGCTCACACAGCAGAGACAGGAAGAAACACCTCCCCCCATGAGATATGTGGTGTCTGCCTCCCTCCTATCTCCCAGGGTTTGCAACAAAAGGGAAATTGGAGTTTGCTTCCCTTTTTTCCATTTGGCTCCCCTCCTTCCACAAACACACCAGTACTTTCACATCCACACAGCACGGGGGAAGTGCAGTGCTATTTCTGGGGGCCTTTTGTGCAAGCTGTGCAAGAAATATGGGGAACCTGCCCTTGCCTTGTCAGGCGTTTTCCGAGCAAAGGCATTTTCCCAATGGCTTGCGGTTTGGTGGAAACCCACAAGGGCACAGCTGGTGCTTCTGGGCTTGAGGATGCTCTGTGCTGGTCTTCTGGGTGTCAGCACTCTTTTCAACCAGGAGAACGTAAGGAGAGGTGTACTGGATTTGGCCAAAGGCCCAACTTGTACACTAACCTGCTCAGAGTGGCCAACCAGATGCCTCAATGGGAAGACAGCAAATAGGATCTGAGTGCAACAGCAACACTCCCCACCAGTGATTCCTACAATGGGAACTCAGAGACCTACTGCTTCTGACAGTGGAGGGGTAACATAGTCACTTTGTTGTTGTTTAGTCATTTAGTCGTGTCCGAATCTTTGTGACCCCATGGACCAGAGCACGCCAGGCACTCCTGTCTTCCACTGCCTCCCGCAGTTTGGTCAAACTCATGCTGGTAGCTTTGAGAACACTGTCCAACCATCTCGTCCTCTGTCGTCCCCTTCTCCTTGTGCCCTCAATCTTTCGCAGCATCAGGGTCTTTTCCAGGGAGTCTTCTCTTATCATGAGATGGCCAAAGTATTGGAGCCTCAGCTCCAAAACTTTATATACCTCTTAACTGAGTTTTTATCCACTAATCCAAGTTAGAAACCATCACTGCCTCTTGCGGGAGACCACACCCTCCCTGTGCGAACATTATTTTGTCTTACCTGAATCAGCCAACATTTGGCTTCACTGGGTGTTCTCAAGTCCCAAGGTAGAATTATAGAATTGTAGAATGGGAAGGGGCCCCAGGATCGTCTAACCCAATACAGGAACCACAGCTGAATAATCCCTGACAGGTGACCATCCAACTTCTGCTTAAAAACCTCCAACGGTTTGGGTCGTACCCTCTGGAGCAGCAGAAAACATGCTTGCTCCACCTTCCATGTGGGAACCCATCAGATATCAGGAGAAATTCACTCTAAAATGCTGTTGAATTCTTACGAGGACTTTTTTTAAAGAAAAGAAAAGAAGAAAGGATTGAAAGCTGATGTGTAAATGTGGAGAACGGGATTTATTGGGGAAGAGAGGAACAAAACCAAAATAGACTCACCTCTCCCTGCTTCTAAGTAGACGTGTATAGGGTTGTACCATAAACATAGTATTGTTAGGTTGCCAAATGTATTGTAAAGGCCTGGGAAATTGCTTTTGTATTTTGTTTGTTTATTGAAAACCACCCTAAAGCTATTTATTTAGTTTCTGGGCCCAATTCAAAGTGCTGGTTTTGACCTATAAATACCTCAAGGACTGCCTCTTTCCATATGAACCTACCCGGACCCTGAGATCACCTTCTGAGGCCCTTGTTTGTGTGCTTCCTCCTCGAGAGGTCTGGAGGGTGGCAACATGAGAATGGGCCTTCTCTGCAATGGCTCCCCGCCTGTGGAATGCTCTCCCCAGGGAAGTTTTCCTGGAACCTTCATTATACACCTTGTTCCTTTTTAACCAGGCCTTTGGTTGATCTGATTTACATCCTATGCCCTTTTAAAATGTGTTTTTTTGTGTGTGTGTGTGGAGCGGAGCTATTGGGTTGTTGTTTTTATTTTTATTATTTATTTTGTGGTTTTATTTCTTCTTGGTTTTATTCTGCAAACCGCCCTGAAATCCCCAGGTATAGGGCAATAAATAAAATAAAATAAAATAAAGCGATGTGTATATTGTTGTTCTGTTATGACCTGGATGGGCTTCTGCAGAAGTCACAGCTAAAGGATCCCAAACAGATGGTCACCCAACCTCTGTTTAAAAAAACAGGAGAGTCTACCACCTTCCACTGTCAAACAGCTCTTTGCCATCAGAAAGTTCTTCCTAATGTTTAGTGTGAATCTGACCTAAGCTTGATGGACTAAGGGTCTGATTCTGTATAAAGCAACTTCCTCTATTCCTACGTGCTAACAGTTCTGATGATGAAAAATGAGGCGTTATTTGAAGGGGTAAAATCCTAGAATCCTAGAATTGTAGAGTTGGAACCGTCTAGTCCAAGGACCACCTAGTCCAACAGCCTGCAATGAAGGAATCACAGCTAAAGAACCCCTGACAGATAGCCATCCAATGTCTGTTTAAAACCCTCCAGAGAAGGAGAGCCCACCATCCACCATTATTCTACTGACAAATAGCTTTGTCAGAAAGTTCTCCTTAATGTTTAGTTGGAATCTCCTTTCTTGTAACTTGAATCCATTGGTTTGGGTCCTACCCTCTGGAGCAGCAGAAAACAAGCTGGCTCCACCTTCCATGGGACAGCCCTTCAGATATTTGAAGATCACCATCATGCCACCTCTCAACCTTCTCTTCTCCATTCTAAATGCACCCAACTCCCAAACCTACAAAGCTCACTAGCCCCATTTCCTCTTAGCCAGCAGATGGGATCACAGTAGGCTTTGCTTCAGCTCTGAAGTTCCAGTGCAATTGGCACTTAGAGCAAAGTTCTCCTTCTGGACAGGGTGGTGGTGGTGGAAGGAAGATCCCTGCAGCTGCTCCTTCTCTGGTTGATAGATAGGGCCAGACTGGTCTTCTCCTTGCCATGGTGCTCTTACTAAGAGGCAGGAGATGCAACCTTATTGTGGCTCTTCCACCTTTAGCTGTTGGCAGAGTCCAAAGCGTGCTTCCCTTCCGCTTTGGAATGCCAGGACACTTAGCAGCACAAACTAGATCAGAGCTGCATCACACTTGCAGCAGGTTCAAACCAGTGACAGCCAACTGGTGGCCCTCCAGCTGCTTTCGGGTCCAAACTCCCATCAGCCCCAGCCGGCATGGCTCAGTGCTCAGGGATGATGGGAATCACAGTCCAAAAGCATCTGCAGGCTGTCAGGTTGGGGAAGGCTGGTTCAAACCTTTTCTCTTAACAACATTTTCTGGAGAGGTGTTTCAACCCACCTCTCCAAATTCTAGTGTGGTGTCAGGTTTAGAGTGTCAGACTAGGAGCTGGGAGGCCAGAGTTCAAATCCCCCACTTGGCCATGAAGCTCATGGAGAGAAATTGGGCCAGTTGCTGCCTCTCAACCTAAACTACCTCACAGGGTTGTTGTGGGGATTAAATTAGGAGCGTGGAAGAGCTTTGTGCACCACCCTGAGCTCCTTGGAGAAAAGGATGGAATGCAAATGCAATAAATAAACCAATATTTGATCTAGGGGGCACTAGAAAGGTACTTTTCCAGTAGTACAAACCTATCAATTTAGAAGCAAGCCCCATTGTGTTCAGTGTTAACTCCCTCTGGAAACTCCCAAACTGAAAAGGCAAAGCTGTGATTTGGTTGTGGCTGATTTCTCATTTTTATTTTCATTTCTTTTTATTTCAGTGGCATGCTTTGAGTCTTTGGGGAAAGCAGCCAGAAGATAATAGAGACCTGTTTTGAATTAATAAGCCTTTGTTTCCAAAGCAGACACAAACCTTTTAGATCCATTTTGAATCCTGCTGACTGTTTTAGAGTGTTTTAAAAATTCACACATTCATAAATATGAAGCCAAAAAAAGAGTTGCTTTATTGAGCATGTTTTTCTTTCTTTCACAACAGCTAAGACATGGTGGAACAAGGATGAAGAATAAGAATGATAAAAGTAGCTGCACCTCAAAGCTTGGGGAAGACTCATAGCATTGCAGAGTTGTAAAATATCCCACCTAGTCCCTCTACAATGTGTTGTAGCTTCTGGTGGGGAAGCTATCAGATAAACATTCTGGAGAGAAGTGGAGGACCTGGAAAGGGTTAAGCACTCAAATAATTTGGGTGTGGGGAAAGCTGCTGGCCCAGAAAGGGTTAAGCACATTGCCTCCCCATGCTGAATTTAAGACTGGAAAAATGAGACAGCTAGAAACTTTAAAAAAAAATGTCCACCCCAAGCTTGAAGGCATGGAAGGAAAACTGTGCTCATCTGCTCCACCAAGAATCTAGTCTGGAAAAAGCAGGAAGCCTGAGAAGACACTATCCGATCCCCCAATGCCCACCATGCCATTGTAGTCATTGACTGCCAGCCACACCTGGTGCCCCTGCCGCATCTGAAGCAGGATGCCGCCCGAGCTGACTTGCTTGTCGTTGGACATGTGGTCACAGAAGCTGGCCACCTTGTCCCGGTTCAGGTACATGTTGACGCAGAGGTTGGCTGTCTGGGATGTGTGGTAGGTGAAGTAGTAGAGGCCAGGGATACGACATGTGAACTTGCCGTTGTTGAGGTCGTAGTCCTGGTTAATGTTGGTGATGGCCCTGTTGAAGACAACGGGGGCGTTCTTGGCAGGGTACTGAGCTGTCTGACGCATCACCGTGAAGGCCGACTGGTGGTTCCTCTTGTAGCCGCCCGGCTCCCCTGGTTCACCCCTGTCCCCCTTGGGGCCAGGCTCCCCTGGAGGTCCAGCAGCGCCTCGAGGCCCATTCTTCCCCACATGACCAGGAGCTCCAGGTTCTCCTTCCTCTCCCTTGGGACCTCGACTTCCAGGAATGGCTGGTGGGCCTGCAGGGGACCAAAGGAATGCAGGTCGTGATTGGAGAAAGGAAAGAAAGGATGAATCAAGAGGATGGGGATGAAGGACACAACTATCCCTTCTACCACACTGCTTCCTGTCTCTGCCAAATCTGGGGCTGCCATACACACTCAGCTTCTTATGGAGCAAAATGTGCTTTCAAAGCTCCCTAGCTGGAGAACTACCCAGGGATGTTCCAACTAGTGAGGATAAAAGGAGGACGCATGGGCTGTTTGATCTGATCATGGGCTGCCTATTCCTCGTGGAGGGCTATTACTATTTTTAATTGCATTCATATCCCACCTTTTTCTCCAAGGGTCCCTGTTCCTCATTTAATCCCCACAACAACCCTGTGAGGTTGGTTAGGCCGAGAGATCCAAAATCACACCCAGTGAGCTTCTTGGCCAAGTGAGGATTTGAACCCTGGTCTCCTGGTTCTAATCCAACACTCTAACCACTACACCACACTGGCTCTCACTGACTCACTGGGCATACTGTTACAGAAGTTGGTACTCCAAGGAGCTTGCCATGTCACCCTCTTATGGGGCAATATCCTCTCCCTCTCCCATCTTGACTTGAATTTAAGGTGATTGAATGTTGTCTTAAATAGCTATTTCTCCTCTCTATGGCAGTCCCATGGAATAGGGTGGGGAGCTAGATCCAGCCTGACAACGTTATGAAGTCTACTGACAACTTCTGGTTGTCGCACTTGCAAGAGGAGAAAAAAACGCCTTGCTGTCAATGCTGATTGCACGCTGACAGTGAGCCCTGCCTTGTCCTTTTGTAGTTGTGACTTGGAGTCAAACCATCCCTGCAAATGGATGTTTCTTCCCCTCTACAGACTGGCAAAGCTGCCTGCAAAGGAAAATAAGTTTCTTTGCAGGTGCAATTTGAATCAAAACTCTGCACGACTTGTTGTCAGCACCGATCAGCTGATTGACTCTGTCAGCAAACAATGCTTGCCAAGGAACAACCAGGAGTACACATTAAGTGCCTGATTGTTTCTTCTCAGCAGGGTCTTTACCTTCCAAACACCTGCCGATATATATGACTCAGGGTGTGGGACCAGTGAACGTGTTTTAGAGAAAAGGACCTCATGGTCCAAATCAAGAACCCTGGCTTAGCTTAATTAGGCCCATAGACCATGGGAGGAGGAGAAAGAGGAGGAGGATGGGGAGGAGAAGGAAGAAGATGCTTACCTGGCTCTCCCTTAGATCCTTTCAGCCCATCTCTGCCATCCTTTCCCGGAGGGCCAGGCACACCAGGAAGTCCTGGTGCTCCATAGCAGAAATGTGGAGGATCAGCTCCTGTAGACGATTCCATCAGTATCAAGAAAAGGAGAAGGCACCCCCAGCTGAAGAACCTCCCTGCGTCCATCTTTGTTCTGCAGAGGCAAGCAAAGGAAGCAGAAGGAAGCAAGGGTTGGGGTCACAGATGCCTCACTAGGCTGGATAAGAAGGAAAGAAGGGGTCCCTTGGCAGTGCAACATCCTTAAAAGTTTCATAAAAAGAAAACACTGTCCCTGTTATCTCCAGCAGACCTCACCCAGGCGATAGTGAACATCAGGTTTAGGCAGGAGGAAGGTGGGGGAATGTGGCCATTCAAGCAGTTCTATCTGGCCCTTAATACTCTGCCCAGGGCATGCATCCCTCTCAGGCCACATCCTTCCTTGGCTGTTGGCTTTACCTGGCTGAATGTATCATTGAAGTGTGGTAATGCCTCTTGCTTTCCTGGATGGAGGATGGTGTGTGTGTGTGTGTGTGTGTGTGTGTGTGTGTGTGTGTGTACACCCACCACTGGTGTGCAGCCCCCAGAAACATGTCATTGAGAGAATGTGGCCCAGGGACTGAAAAAGACTCTCCACTTCTGCCTTACCCAGCCACTCAGCAAAAGATGCAAGCAGCTTGTTCATCATACCAATTAATTATCTATTGTGCCTTGTATTTTCATCAGAAATAATTACAGGGGGAAAAAGGGGGTCAAAGCAGGCTAGTGGAAGGAGCTTCTCTCTGTCTCTCCCTCCCCCCTCCTTTTCCTCCTCTCATGGAATCCAAAAGAAAGTTGCCAAATGACTGGAAAAAGCCAGCCTGGACTGCTCTTGTGTTTTCAGCGTCAGCCTAATCTTTAGAAATGTGCCGGACAGTGATGTTTATTTCCATCATGCTGCAGAAGAGTTTCGCCTGTTTGCTCCTGTATATCAAACTGCTTTTGGAGACAGAGCTACTGTATCCAACTCAGAAGCTGGCACCTCTGCACCCCAAAAGATGGAAGGAGACAGGCAGGCAGGCAGGCAGGCAGGCTGGCTAGCTGGAGGAAAGGTCTTCTCACTCTCATCTTCTCTCCTTTGGCTGAGCTTGAGATCTTGTTAACTCTCTGCCTGTGTTTTCATTTTATCTAACTGCTTCAGGAGGGTTAACCTTGGAGCGCAGAAGCAGAAGGGGAGGCATGTTTAACCCTTTCCAGGCCTGCAGCTTCTCCCCCTCAAGTCTTTTCAGCTGCTCTCCAAGATCTTCATTCAAGAACTTCCCCACCTCCTGCTGTTAGGGCTGGGTGGATTTGGCCATTTTGGTTTCTCCCAGTCTCTCATTTTCCCAATTCTAAATCCACTTCTCCTTCTCTGTCTGGACCTCCCTAGCCCTTCCAGTGCCCAATGCTTTCCTCTGGGACTCCCCCAGCCCTCCAAGGACATCCCAGGGGGTCAATGCTGTTGGTGGAGAAGCCCTGAGATGACCACTCTTACCTCATTGGGTTCCAGCTGGACTCTCGCAGCCTGAAGGCAACTTGGAGGTGTCAGAGAGCTGCAGGCCAACTCGGTGTGGAGTAGAGCACTCCGTTTGCAACATCACCACCCGCAACAGGGAAGTTGGTGGCCTGGGAGAATTAGGAAGTAGACCATCCCCTTTCCTGGTTTCATGGCATTCATCTGCAAACTCTCTGGTCAACAATTCTTTTAAAAAACAAAACACAACCCAAAACACAGATCCAGCATTTTTTTTTTATTAAGAGACCTATTTTCCTTTAGAGAGGGACATAAGAATCTTCATTATGACCACTTGATCCTTTTGTCCATCTAGCCCAGAGTTGTCTACACTGACAGTCAATGCCTTCTCAGAGTTTCAGATGGGTCCCCAGCCCTGCATAATGCAGGGTCATTCTGTTTGCAAAGTGCATGCTTTACCACTAACCCACAACCCTTTCATTAAGACATGGGAGGGAACCTCAGGTTTAGGAACCCAAGGTGGCTTTCCAGGTCTCTCTACTTGATCCTCAGAACTCTCCCCAGGCAACAAGCCCTCTCCCTAGGCTTCAGCCCTCACTTGTCCTGCTTTGTACCCTAATTGTTTTCCCTGCTTGCAAGGTGGTCAAGGTGTGCTTGAGAGTGTCCTTTGGTTCATCCTATAAATGATAATGGCTCTTGTTTGCATGAGTGCCGGGGTGTGTGAGTGTGTGAACAAATTAGCCTAATGTGCAAAGTAACATGTAAAGGTAAAGGGACCCCTGACCATTAGGTCCAGTTACGGTTGACTCTGGGGTTGCGGTGCTCATCTCGCTTTATTGGCCGAGGGAACCGGCGTACAGCTTCTGGGTCATGTGGCCAGCATGACTAAGCTGCTTCTGGCGAACCAGAGCAGCACACGGAAACACCGTTTACCTTCCCGCAGGAGCGGTACCTATTTAACTACTTGCACTTTGATGTGCTTTCGAACTGCTAGGTTGGCAGGAGCAGGGACCAAACAACGGGAGCTCACCCCGCCACGGGGATTTGAACCACCGACCTTCTGATCGGCAAGTCCTAGGCTCTGTGGTTTAACCCACAGCGCCATCCGCGTCCCATAAAGTAACATCTCTCTCTGTGTGTGTGTGTGTGTCCTGCTCACATTTGCCTCTAGCCCTGCCCACCAATGGCATGTGGCCTCTAGAAGGTTGCCCAGAAAGGAACCCACCCTTGGGCTTAAAAGGGTTCCCCACTGGTGCATGAAGACATAGTCTTCTCTAGCTCAGCTTGGTAGACTGCGGTGCTGATAATGCCAGGGCTGCATATTCCTCAGGATCCCTTCCAATCCTACAATTCTGTGATTTCTATGAATACAAGAAGCTGCCTTAACTGTGTGTGTGTGCACGCATGTGCATGCAGGGATACTCTTTATATAAATTTGAATACTAGAACCATGGAATTGTAAAGTTGGAAGGGATTACAAGAGTCATCTAGTCCAGCCCTGCGCAATGCAAGAATCTTCTGCCCAACAGGGGACTTGAAACGATGATCCCGAGATTAAGAGTTCCGTGCTCCACCAACTGAGCTTAGTAGCAACCCTCCAGGGCTTCAGACAGGAGCTCCTGCTCCACCAAAAATTGCTCCCACTTTTCTCCTGCAATCATTCTCCATCAATTTTTGAATTAAGAAATTGCATTTAGAAATCATGAAAACTGAGAGGAAATGCCAGTGACATTCTTAGGGGCAGAGGATAGAAAGAGGAAGAGAAATGGATGCCTCTTTTGCAGAAGAAAACTGCTGAGAAATTAAAGGACAGGTTTCAGCAGAAAGCAGCCCCCATGGTCATACCTGGAGATGCTGGGAATTGTGGCATGCAGTGCATGACAGCCCCTTCCCTAAATAGAGTGATTAAAAGCACCCCACAAAACTTTGCAGTGAATTGTGGGTGGGGAAGCTGTGACCTTCCAGATGTTGGACTCTGACTCTCATTAGACCCAGGCAAGTATGGCCAGCAGTCAGGGATGGTGTTGGGAGTTTTAATCCTACAACATCTGCAGGGCCACACGTTGCCCACACCAACAACATGCCATTATTCATTGATGGACTATATATCTCTATCTCTATCATCTTGTCACTCCTGAAGATGAGTTCTGTGGGCTTCTCTCAAAGGCCCGCACAAAGGTCTGTGGTCCATCTAACTTCAAACGTGCAAAATGGTTGTTTGATGTTTCCCCAATGAATCATGAGAAGATTTCCTGACCCTTCCAGGGGCAACCTTGCTCTTGGATGAGAGAGCGCTGGAGACTGATGCTGCCTTTGTAATTTTTGCTTTGTTTTCAAATATGCAAGCAAAGCATTAAGCAGAAGCAAAGCAGCGGATCCACCAGGGAGAAGATCTTGCACCCTCAATTGCCTCCAGCCCTTAACAGGAGAGGTGGGGAACCATTTTCAGCCTGAGGGCCACATTCTCTTCTGGTCAACCTTCTAGAGGCCACATTCCAGTGGTGGAAGCAACAGGTGTACATTTTGCTGCACTCATATGCCCCTCTCTGTGATCTACCCAGGCAAGTCAGATGCATGATCAGAATTCATGGACACATTCCAGTCAGATAAAAATATTCAGACAGATTACAGAGTAAGACCACAGAGGGGCGTGATGTGGGGAGATGATGAGTGGCCTGGACACATTTCTGAGAGCCACATTGGGGTATGTGGAGATTCCCCACATCTACTTCTGTTTCCTCCAAACTTAGGAATGGGGGTTGGGGGGTATCATTCATCCTAGAGCTGTGCTCAAGAGGCACGTTGCAATTCCCCACTCTATCTGTTGGCAAAGAAATTAGGCGATCACTAAATTTCTCCATTTTTGCGGGGGTTGGACTTGCCCAGGGCCAGCCAAATACGCTTTGGTCTCTCAGGCAAATCACAAATGGAGCCACCCTCCCTGCAAGGGCTGTGTGAAGATCTACATTAGGAGCAAGTGGGGAATGAAGATCTAAAATCAGGATCTGCTGCCTGGTGGGGCCTGCTGCCTGAAGTGGTTGCCTCAGTTTGCCTCATGGGTGGGCCAGTCCTGGGCTTGCCATTAAACAGTGGCAATAGCACAGCTTCTCTTTCCTTTTTTCCTCCCCGCTTTTTTTGGGCTGATGCTGCAAAGTTGCATCCTCCACAATGTCCCAAACCTAGCACTGAGTGGAACAGTGTGCGTGTATGCCTGGGACAGGAAGTGGTGACTACTTCAAAAAATGATCAAAAATAGCCAGAGGAACTTCTGCAAAATGGACCCTTTTTTTGATGGGCTGCTATGAGAAGAAGATGCAGGACTAGATGGCCGCTGGCTGAATCCAGCAGGGTTCATTTTACGTTCTTGTGTTTTTCTGTTTTTAAGGGGTGAGATAAAGAAAAACAAACAAACTCAGAAATTTTCAACAACAACAATGCCTTGTGAGAAATTTTGACTCAGTTGTAGTTCACACACAAAACTACTCAGAGTAGACTCATGGTTGTTTTGTCCTTTCTATTTGTGATTAAGCTATTGCAAGCAGTTTGAAAAGCAGCAAAGAAGCAATTCAAATAAAAAAGTCGTAATTATTCCTAGGAAGTCCCATTGTCCACCAATGTGCTCCGAAATTTACAAAGTGAACATGCATTCTCAAGAGGTCCAAACAATTAAGCAAAAAACTCATCCATATGAAGTGATCCTGAAAATGCAGCTTGGCTTAAGGATGCTAGAAATGTGTGGTTGAAACAGGCCAGAACAAGGTGTGCCCAGTCCATTATTCTTATATTTTCAACAGGGATTGGAAAAACTTTGCAGCCTGAGGGTCACCTTCCATTTCTGGGCAACATCCCAGGAGCCTCGTGCCATTGGCAATGGGGGCCAGAATCAAAAGGAGATGGGACAATGAATACACACTTTGTAAATTAGGCTTTCTTCTACATACAATCACACACACCTCTATTCTCCATCCAGGCATTATCAGAGTTCAAGACATAAAAACACCCAAGGAGAATGCAAAGCAGGGCCAGGGAAGAGCATGGTCTGGGGAGAGTCCTGAGGGCCTGGTAGAAAGTTCTGGAGGGCCACATCTGGCACCCCTGTCCTGAGGTTCCCCATCCATTCTTTGCAGGGGTTGTCTCCAACCATAGTCCTACTCAGAATAGACCAACTGAAGGTCACACTCATGGCTGACTTGGGCTGTTGATTTCCAGTGGGTTTACTCTGGGTAGGGCTTTGTTGCAGACAACCCAATGTCCTCAGCCATCTAGATGATGCAGATCTACAACCTCCATCATCCTTGGCCATCGGCCATCCTTCCTGCTTAGGATATGAGCCAGTTCAATTCGCTCGTTATCTCGGCAACCACCAAGGATGTCCAAGTTGCAAGGTGGGCTTGCCACAGTGATGTCAATCTCTTGGAGCAGGAGCTCTGCTGCCTGCATTTTTGGGAGGGAAGGGGGTGGGTCACATGGAGGTAGCTTAGCAGCTTATTGGCTGGGCAATGTGTGTCCTACATTCTAGGGACTGTGATCTGGGAGCCTTCTGATCTTTCTTCGCTGCCTGGGGCTACCCAACATGAGTTGTAAAAGGGTAGCAAGTGGCAAAAACATTAAAAATGCAAACGATCATCTAATGTGCGATTGCTATGCTGCTTGGCACATGCGAAGATGCAAGGAGGGGAATTTTAATTCACAGAACCCTTAACAAAAAAAAACAAAACCCATGTGGACCAACCCTATTTGGAATTCTCCTTTCAACAAAATCGACTGATATAGATTGCAACACTGGGCAAAGCAGACCCTCCTGGCTTGTCTGTGTGCATGCTCTCTCCTAGGAAAGAGGAAGAGTCACAGCTGGGGAAAGGCCCTTCTCCTAAACAGAGGAAGCTGTATACTGAACCAGACCATTGATCACTGGTCCAGCAAGCTCACTAGTGTCTACACTGGCTGGCAGCAGCTCTCCAGGTTTTTAGGTAAGGGCTCTCTCCCAGCCCTACTTGAAAATGCTGGGAGTTGAACCTGGAACCTTCTGCATGCCCTTCACTAAGACATAGGAAGATGGAAATCTGCCTTATACTTGACCCACTGATCAATATAGCTCAGTATTATCTGTTGTGATGGTAGTGGCTTTCTAGTTTTCCCAGACAGGGGACAATCCGAGCCAGATGTAGGGATGTGAGGAATTGGATAGGACAGGGACTATTGGCCTGATTCAGTAGCTAGGCTCTTCCGATGTGTGTGTTTCAGGCAATCTGATTTCCATTGCCATCCTTCCTTGAGTGAACTCTTTCCCTTGCTTCTCTGTCACCACCACTGACCACTTGCTTGCATTTTCTTCTGCGTCCAATTGGTGCCTCCACCCCGAGGGACATTCTACCTAACTGCCCAGTTTCCCTGCCTGGATTATCAGGAAGTGCTATTGCCTCCATCCATGTCAGTGGCGTAGCGTGGGTTGTACAGCAAGGCAAGTAATTTGCGCCCCCTAACCCGTGGATTTGCACCCCCTAACCCATGGATTTGCGCCCCCTAACCCTAACCCCCAGATGTTGTGCCCGGTGTGGCTGGCCCCCCCTGCACCCCCCACGCTACGCCACTGATCCATGTTCACTGAAGAATCAGGAAGGCAGATGTCAGGGCAGCCCCTGCTTTGGACATTTCCCCTTTCGAGTTGTTTATGCAAAGTATTTTTGGTTACATTAAAAAAAAATAGTGTCTCAGCACAAAGAAACTCACTGAACAGCCCAGTTTCAAAATTCTGAATATTTATTCATTGCCAAGTAGGAACAAGACTGAATGTCCCAGGCTGGGTGGTCTGGGAACACATGAGGTCATCACTTTGCTGAAGCTGAGCAGGTCTGGGTCTGGTCAGTGCTGGGATGGGTTGGGTTGGGTTGCGTTGGGTTGGGAGACCTGTTTGGAGCCACCTCTTTGACCACTTTGGGTGCCATGATGGAAGGAAGGTGGGAATCTCAATGTATCTGAATGCAGAAGCGGGCTAGCAATGGATAAATCTGTTTTAATTCCCCTCACTTTCTCATTTTTCCATACGTAAGTTCCATTCACCCCCTTTCCCCACAGATTGCAAACTTTAAAAAATCAACATCAAAAAATCCTCATGAAGGTTTGTACACATTTTGGTGTACATTCCTTCGGATATGCCCATTTTTGCAAGCACATGTATCCTAATATAATGCAGTTGTTTGCATTAATTCCATTAATTTCCACCAATGGTGTTCAGTTCTCCTAATATAAACCTTTTCACGTTCAACTTTGCTAAATGTACCCCTTTTTGCAAGCAAAGTTTCCCCATTATAATGCTATTTTCTACATCATTTTCACTTGTGTGCAGAGTTGCCATGATGCTAAGTGGGGCACAGTTTCTTTTCAGGGAATGGCAAAGCAAAATCTGCTGGAGTGTGAATTTCAGAGGCTAACTGAGTTTCTGTATTGAGGTTTGTGTGTGTGTGAATTGGGCGGCTTCCCCTCAAATTTCAAACTCTGTGGCTTTCTCCCCCAACCCCCAGGAAGCAGACATCTATATATGCAGTTACATTGATCTGAAAAAAGCATCCTTGTGGTTGTAGCTTTGTAGCAAGAGGGAGGTGGGTTTGGGGAAGAAGGGGTGGCCTTGTCTTCCTCCCTGTCCCTCAGGCGCCCGACGGGAAAAGCAAGAAGCCACTGAGCACGCTGTCTGCATCGCTGCTGACGTTGATGTTGTTCCCATCCTGCGGGTCGGTCTCCAGCCATACACTCTGACCCTTAGCCAGGTACAGGACACTCCCTCCTGAGTTGACCTGCAGGAGGCCTTGCTTGTTGTTGTCACAGAAGGTGGCTACTTGGTTGCCTTGGCGCATGAGGCGAAGGCACAGGTTGCCATTGGAAATCACCTGGAAGGAGAAGTAGTAGTACCCAGCATCCTTGCAGGTAAATTTGCCCGTCTGGAGGTCGTAACCATCGTCCTGGTTGGTGATGACATTGTCAAATACCACTACATTGCCAATAGGCTTGTGGTTCTTCAGAGAGGCTGAGAAAGCGGCTCGGGGCTGCTTCGTGCTGTCGCCAACTTGCCCCTTCTGGCCTTTGTCTCCTTCTTCGCCAGGAGGGCCTGGGGGACCATCAGGGCCTCGGTAGCCCTGGTTACCTGGCGTGCCTGGTGGGCCTGGCTGCCCTGGGTCACCTTTGGGTCCCTGTATGCCTGTGCTCCTTGATGCCCTCCCTGAAAGAGAAGCAGAAAAACATGTGTGTTTCTTGTCGCAGCTCAAGGGAAGAAGGCCAGCCCAGGCATTGCCAAGGCTTGTCTCCAATGTTACTCAGAACAGACCCATTGAAATAAATGAACACAACTAACTGAGGTTCGTTAATTTCAATGGGTACATGTTAGTTGGACAGAATGGACTATGCTGGATCAGCAAAGGTAATGGCTAAAATAAGAGAACTTAATGACGGCTGTTTATGGAAGAATGGAAGCCTTTTTCAGATTATTTAAATAAATATTATTATATGAATTCGTGAACAGGATTGGAACTATGAGCAACAGAAATAATTAGAGATTATTGTATTATGGTTATGATATAAAAGAGTGAAGATAGGGTGCAGCAATGAGAGAGATATATATAAACACCATGGAAAATGGGATGGGAAGCCAATAAAAATAAAGAAAAAAATGTCATATATTGGAATTTTATGTGAAATTGTGGGGATATATAGTTAGTTAGTTAGTTAGTTAGTTAGTTAGTTAGTTAGTTAGTTAGTTAGTTAGTTAGTGTCAGGTTGCTGTCAGCTACTCCTGGCTGGTTATAAAGACAAAGAAAAGTTTCTTACCGTCCTTTTTTATTTCATTCTTTACAGAGAGAGGCTATAGAACCCAGCCTCTTGGATAGTGGCCTGAGTGAATCTCCAACCACCGTCTCTCCTACTTCCTCATTCATCGTCTGCTCTACAGGTGCAGCTAAGCGCCCTCTGTCTTTGAGCTCTTTGCTCTCCTACTTTTAAGGCTCACCGGGTTCTGGGAAATGGAGGGTCTGGAATGCTTTCTAATGACGTATCAGCCAGGTGTTGTCCTGGCTCTCTCATGATTTCCCAACTTCCCCCTTCATCTGACTCTGAGCTGTGACCTCCCTCAATCCACTGTTGTAAATCTATACTATCTTCCTCTTCCCCTGGAAGGGTCAGGATGGGGAGGCGGTCTCCACCATTCCTCCGCTGCCCAGTCCCTGACAGTTAGTTAGTTAGTTAGACACAAACTTAAGTCTTGAAGCCATATCTGCTCTGCTCTCTCCCATTCAGGGTATTACTACTATTACTACTACTACTACTACTACTAATCATTTTCATTAACCAGTTGTCTTAACAAAATGACCTACAATGATAGTGCAAAAACAAAATGAAAAACACAACAGTGGTGAAACAATTCAAATTACAGGGAACCAGGCAGAGGGCCTTCTCGGTAGTGGCATCCACCCTGTGGAATGCCCTCCCACCACATGTCAAAGAGAAAAACAACTACCAGACTTTTAGAAGACATCTGAAGGCAGCCCTGTTTAGGGAAGCTTTTACTGTATTTTAATATTTTGTTGGAAGCTGTCCAGAGTGGCTGGGGAAGCCCAGCCAGATGGGCTGGGTATAAATAAATTATTATTATTATTATTATTATTATTATTATTATTATTATTATTACAAGCAAACTAAAGACCAGCCTAGCAACAATTTGACAGTGAAATTTCTTAGAAGGCCGTTTCCACTCTTGCTATGAAGGCACTCCCTTCTCCAGTCTCTCCAGTGACATCTTACCTGGCTCTCCAAGATCTCCTTTCTGTCCTGGGCGCCCAGCCCTGCCTGGAGTCCCTGGGTGTCCATCTCTGCCAGCGGCTGCTTGGCACACTGTGTCCTGAGGAGCCGCAACATCCAGAATCAGAGCCAGCGCACAAGCCACCAGCCACAATCTGCTCGCCATCCTCCCTCTGTGGACATAAGCACAGGACCATATGATAATTCTTTCACCACCCCACTCCTCATCCTCTTCTTACTTCTCAGTGGGACTTACCTGACCCCCAAACCCTGACTTTTCTGAGGTTTTTCTTACATTCTGAAGGAAGGAAGAACTATCACCCAGTGGATGAGCAAATGCATTCCTCAGCACCTCCACTTTAAAGGATTAGGCAGCATGGGACCAGAAGGTCCTGAAAGAGCAGCTGCCAGTCAGAGTAAACAATGCTGTACTAGATGGAGAACTGATCTAATTCAGGGCTAGGGGACCCCTGCAGATGTTGCTGGACAACAACTCCAGTCTTTCTAGCAGCCAGGGAATGGGGGGGAGGGGGCTTGGCAGGTTGTCTGAAGCCTGGAGTGGGGAAAATGCCACAGGGCAGGCCTGAATAAGAGACACTCAATACTCCACAGGCAAGAGCTAAAAGTGCAAGTTAGCTTAGCTGCTATTCCAACCTCAGGCAGAGTAAAACAGCCAAAATGCAAAAAGGCTTGGCTTAGCTTGGCTTGGGGTTCCTGTTGATGTACAGAATACCTACAATAGATTGGGAATGGTGTTCTAAGGCAGGAAACAACAATCCTACCAAACGTACACATAGATTGCAGGTCAAACTTTGTAGACAGTGGCCACCCCTGAGGAATAATGCTGGGACAGAGTTGGGGGGCAGGGGACAGGGTGGGGACAACACTCAATAAGGCCAGAATCCCATGACATGATCTTCTGAAGAGCTGGAAGGGGGAATCAGAAAACCCTTCCTCCCAAAGTGCAGGTTACATCAACCCCACTCCTGCAAACTCCTTTGCTTTGGTCCCTTGAAGCCTAGTGATACAATCCAGCAATGTTATCCACAACTAAGAGTGGGGAAACGAGCTGTATTCTTGCAGCTGAGACTTGGGCACTTCAAAGAATGAATCCAGGTTTGTCCTAATCTTGATCTCCATTAGGGGAGTCAGTGTATAAAAGACCTTGTTGTTGTTGTTTTGAAAGTTACATGCATCCCCCCCCCAACTGGATATTGAGAATTGCAGCTAGAATAATTGGTTTATCATCCAAATTTTGTGCCGCTGCCATAAAACTCAGGGAACAAAGACTAAGGCCTCAGATGCAAACTCTAGATAATATTTTAGAGACTAATACCTAAACCATGTTTCTAATGGCTGTCATATTTGTTTACTGTCATATTCGATTGTTAATTCAAACTTAATTCTATTGTGTTTTATGTTCGTTTAGTACGGTATGTGAATCTGGTCTGGGACCATAATAAATTTCATTCATTTCATCCAGCTACTGGCTTTTTCTTCCCCCTTCATCTTGATTTGATATCAGAAAGGAACCCACCAACTCATCATCCTGTGAGATGCTCTGAACAGCAGAAAGAGGGGCCTCACAGTTTTTATATGATGCACAGAATAGTCAAGCTGCATTGTGGACTGGGCAGACGGCAGAATAAAAAAAATCAATAAGAAAAGGTACTTAAGGAAGATTGGAAAATGTTTGCAGAATATCTGGCGAACAGAGGGAGGGAGCAGTACCAACGAAGGAGGAGTGGCAGGTGAAAATGACGGGATATGCAGAATTGGCAAATCTAAGCCGCAGAACAAGAGATCAAGAAGAAGGGGTATGTAAGGAAGATTGGGAAATGCTTGTAGAATACCTGATGAAACATTGCAAACAGGTTGAAACATTAGCAGAATGAGAGTAAATTCAGCAGTTATAATTACGTTGAGATAGAAGCGAGAAAGGGAAAAAAAGGAGTAACTGTAGAATATGCAGCAGTAAGGAAGAAAAAATGGAAGGGAGGAGAGGAAGTCAATGTTTAATTTAATGTTTTGTTTGTTTATGTGATTATGAAAGATTATAAATGAAATTCATTTAAAAATTAATTTAGAGGAATAAAATTGGAATATTATCAATAAGTTAGTTATAAGAAAAATGTCCCAGGGAGGGTCACTTACCTCCTTGAAAGAGATCCCTCTCCACCAGCTTCTTTGGCAAGCAGAATGTCTCTTTTTGGCCCCGCACAGAAAGGAGGAAGAACGGGGATGGTGGGGAGGGGGTTGGGTTTGGCTGAGTCACAGAAAATGTAGTTTCCCTTCCTCCCTTCCTCCTTTCGATTGCTTCCTCTTGGTTTGTCCACTCTCTGAGATCACAACAAGCCATGATGCCCAAAGAGCTTCAGTATCTTTCCCACTATTTCATTGAATCATAGAATTGTAGGGTCGGAAGGGACCCTGAGGGCCATCTAGTCTAGCCCCCTGCAACGCAGGAATCTTTTGCCCAGCATGGGGCTTGAACTCACAGCCCTGAGATTAAGAATCTCATGCTCTACCAACTGAGCTGTCTTGGATGGGTCATCTAGTCCAACCCCCTGCTATGCAGGAATCACAGCTAAAGAATCCCTGACTAATGGCCACCAGACCTCCATTTAAAAACTTCCAATTAAGGAGAGTCCACTGCGCAGTCCACTGTTGAACAGCTATTACTGTCAGAAACATCTTGGGGAATGAAACTGGGAGTTTCCAAGCACAATTCAAAGTGCTGGTGCTGACCTTTAAAGCCCTAAATGGCCTTGGTCCAGTATACCTGAAGGAGCGTCTCCACCCCCATCGTTCTGCCCGGACATTGAGGTCCAGCACCAAGGGCCTTCTGGTGGTTCCCTCAGTGTGAGAAGCCAAGTTGCAGGGAACCAGGCAGAGGGCCTTCTTGGTAGTGGCACCCACCCTGTGGAACGCCCTCCCACCAGATGTCAACTACCAGACTTTTAGAAGACATCTGAAGGCAGCCCTCTTTAGGGAAGCTCTTAATGTTTAACAGACCACTGTATTTTAATACTTTAATACTTTAATACTTTGGAAGCTGCCCAGAGTGGCTGGGGAAACCCAGCCAGGTAGGCAGGGTATAAATAATAAATTCTATTCTATTCTATTCTGAAAGTTCACTCCAAACTAGTCCTGTACATCATTTTCCTCTGATTTCTGCTGGAGGACCTGAGATCAAGCTGCCGAGTGCTGCCCCCTTTCCGCCCCCCTTCTGTTCTGCATTGGTTAATTTCCCCCAGTGTTCCTGGCCCAAACAGGCTGACCACATGCTGGTACATATGAATGCTGTAGATTCAGAGTTCTCTGTGTTTGGGAAAAAGTGAGTGAGAGAGAAATTGGCAGCCCTGCCTAATGGTCAGAGTACCACAGCCTGGTTGTGTATTTGCTGAGATGCTTTTCTTCTTCTTCTTCTGATTATGCAGACTGCGTGGAGAACTTGCCCTATGGCACAATTCAGCTGTCAAAAGAAGAAGAATCTTTGGGTGGGGGGCAGCCCAGTGCAGCCTGTACATGTTGTGCTATGAAGTGTCCTGAGATCTTCAGGTGAAGAATGATATACAAATTTAATAAATAAAATAAAATAAAATAAATATGACACAGTGCAAATGCGGACACAACAACTGAGCCCAGCTGCAGCACAGAATGCAGGAGTCAGCTGAGTTGCATTGGATGTGCAATTGGCTTACCTAAGGGATAGCCAATGGAGTACCCTCCAGTTCCCAGAAGCCCCAGACAATCTTCTGAAATAAAGTGAGTTGGAGCCTAGGAACATCTGGAAGTCCCCACACTGGCTCTCTTTGTCCTGCACTATAAAGGTGGGTGTCCTTTTCACTCCCGAGGGCCACATTCCCTTGTGGGAAACTGGTCAGGAGCTTCACACAAGAATGGTGGGCAGAGCCAAAAATGAAAGTAATAGGGCCCCAAAAGCATGGACATAAACGCACATTCATTCTGCCCTCCCTCTCTCTCAGGGCTGCTGGATCAGGCCACAGACTCATCTAATCCAGCATCCCCTTCTCACAGTGGCCACAAGGGGAAGTCTGTATGCAGTACCTTAGTGCCATATTTCAAAAAGTATAATTCCTGACACCCACAAAGTTGTTGAGCTTTATTAGAAATCCGCCAAAATTGTTAAGCTTTTTGGGGGAGACCTAACCCTCAAATAATGATTTTAAGCTTTTTGGGCTGTTTTTGATGCTTTTCCCAGCATGTTGCCATACATCCCAGTTTTCCATGAAATTTTGCCGGTTAGGCAAAATGACCCCCGACGCAATTTTTACACCCCAGAACCAAGACATGTCAGGAATTTCCCTGACACATGGGAAGTCTAGTGCAATAGCAACTCGCCCCACTTTTGATTGCCTCTGATACCAGAGATAAGTAGCCATTGATGATCTTATTCTCCTTCCCTTCATCCTTCTTCCCTCTCTTTCCTTCATTGATCTGTAATTCCTCCAACATTTCCTCCTCCTCCTCCTCCTCCTCCTCTCTCTCTCTCTCTCTCTCTCTCTCTCTCTCTCTCTCACACACACACACACTGTGCAGTAGCCATAGAAAAGGACTGGGCACTAGATGGCGCCATCACACAAAAGATGCTCCTTCCTCTCACATTGAACAATGGACAAATGGTTTCCTGTTCCGTGGATTCACGATCCAGCGTAGTCTCTGAGGTCCAGCCAAACATAGCCGTGGTTCTGTTCATGTGTCAGGATCCAACAGAGCTGGCAGACAGGAACCTACAAAACTGGATTCAGGACCCTCTTGAGTCCCTTCCCCTGAGTCTTCTGCACAGCCATGGTCAGACGTTCATAAGGTCTAAGTTCACCTTCAGCCATTGCTGGAGCAAGAAGCTCACTAGGAGCTATCCATAGTGCTGAAACCTACAGCTACTCTTGCCGCTGTCCCTTCTGGGTCCCAGCTACAGACAGATCAGAAGAGGAGTTTCCTCCCAAGGGAAACCCATCTGAGTTCATTGATGACCTTCTGTTAATGGGCAAAAGGTCTGTTTATTTAGGTCTCTTTATTTAGACAGGACCTTGGACAAAAGGCCAGTTAAAAGTCCTCTGGAGCTTTTAACTGGCCTTAACTGGTTGCTGCTCCGCTTTAGTGTGAAATATTATATGAGACTGTTTTCATAGTCTTTGATGTGTTGCTTAACATTGTTCTTGTTTTAATTGCATTCCCTTTATTTACTTTTTCTGAGCTGCATTCAACATTAGTTCCATTCAGAGCAGAATTATTGAAACAAATGGGCATAACTAAGTAAGGTCCATTTGTTTCAGTGGGTCTGCTCTGAATAGTACCAATGTTGAATGCAACCCATTGGTTACACACACACACCTGGTGCTGGTGCTGATGTAAAAGAGATGTGTGTCCTGAGTCCCAAAGTATTGCAGGCTCAGTCATGGAGTGGCTGCTGGAGATGGACAAGGAAGCAGGGGAAGAGGAGAAAATAGGGAGAGGATGGAACTGAGAGTGGGGAACAGAGACTGGAGGAGGCAGGTTCTTCTTCCTCCCAGGATATGGCTGCTCTGGATGAAGAAAAAGGACTGCCACTTCCCTTCTTCTCTCCTGGGAAGAGGAGAGCATCCATAGAATCTAGGAAGGACATCAACCAATCACTGGGAGTGGAAGCACCAGAGTCAGAAGAGCAAGGCACAATCTGGTCTCCCAGGGCCTGGTGGTGCTCCTGTCACTGGGAAAAGACCCATTCTCCCTGGTGTAGTGTGCATTTACATGCTTAGCAGTCTCATGAGTAAGGGTGCTTTGCCCTGCCTTGAAAAGCTTGGTGGGTGGGCATGCAAACCCATTGAGACAGGTCTCTTGCTTCCATGCAGTTCTGTTTTTAGCCCAGTTGGTCTTATGGTCCTTTCTTGTCACCTAACCTGAGCGCTGAGGCTTCTGTGACTCACTAGCTGTTGTCCCTTTACTCTGCCTCAATAAAAACCGCTTCCTTATTCTCAGTGATGAACCTCTGCTTTTGTGGTCTGAGTGGGAACCAGGAGACTGTGGCCCTGCAGAAGAAGGAGGAGGAGGAGGAGGAGAGTTTGGATTTGATATCCCGCTTTATCACTACCCGAAGGAGTCTCAAAGCAGCTAACATTCTCCTTTCCCTTCCTCCCCCACAACAAACACTCTGTGATGTGAGTGGGGCTGAGAGACTTCAAAGAAGTGTGACTAGCCCAAGGTCACCCAGCAGCTGCATGTGGAGGAGCAGAGACGCGAACCCGGTTCCCTAGATTACGAGACTACTGCTCTTAACCACTACACCACACTGGCTCTCCAGTTAGACTCCAGCTCCCATAAGCCCCAGTCACCATGGATAATGAATGAGAGATGGTGATAGCTGAAGTTCAGCATCACCTGGGGAGCCATTGCTTGCCCGCCCCTAATTTGTTCTCTCTTGCATTTTGAGCTCCTCCCCTACAAGCCAAAGTGGAAGCCCTTAGCTGCAGCAGCCAAAGTCCAACTGCAGCAAAACTCACTTTTAGAAAACGGCAGGGTGCAAATTGTCTGTCTAGAGGTGGGAAGCATCTGCTTTTGTCCCCCTCTTTTTTTTTAGTAGTGATCCAACAAGATAACACATGTCATTTAGCTATTCCAGACTTGTAAACAATGTGGTTCAAATCATTAAGATACAGGTTATTAAAAATTTATCTCCCCTGCCGGCAAATGCAGGCTGATTTGGAATTCCTAGGTTTTGTGTCCTGTTTCTGAACAGATTAAAGGTGTTGTTGTTGTTTTTAAGTCATAAAGTCTCCTCTGCCTCTCATTTCTCCTTCAAGCACGTTCTCTCCATCCATAGCATTCCTTCTTGCATTCAGAGCTTCTGTGCTGACAACAGCCTCATCTCTCGGTTCTTGATCTGTTTGTCTCCCTTTGATTCCCTCTTGTCTCTTCATCTCCCTTTACTGGGTGTCTGCACTGTCACAGAGCCAGAACTCACTCACCTTTAATTATATATTTATTATTGCATTTATACCCCATGTTCCTCCCTCCCCTCACACCCTCCGGAGGTCAAGGTGGTGCACATGGTTCTTCCCCTCCTCGTTTAATCCCCACAATAGGTGCCAACTCCCTGGGGCCCTGGGTGCCCGGGCACCCATGAAATTCCCCATGAAGGGGCCGGGCAAATTTTGGTGCCAGGGCTGCGTGACACCCACGGCCCTGGGCACCCATGGTAGCAGGGCCAAGCTTGCACTCATGACACCCAGTGAGCTTCATGGTTGAGTTGAGATTCGAAACCTGGTCTCTGCGGTCCTAGTCCAACACTTGAACTGCTATGTCACACTGGTTCCTTTCTTCTGGGGTTCCTTCCACCTATTCCTTCCTCACTTCTCTTCTGTGGAGGAAGACAGAAATAACATGGCAATACAAAGGGGCAAAAGAAAAAGGGGGGAGCACCCTGGTCCATTCAAATTGAAATCGAGCCCACATTTGTCAAAAGATGTTGGCTTATAGCGAACTAAGTTTCACTCTTAATAGACCCACTGAATTAATGTGTTTAAATCAGTCATTACCATTACTTAAAAG